ATATTATGCAAGGTTTGACCAAATAGAATTCAGTCTTTGCCTCAGTGGGACGTTGATAAGATCAAAGTGAAAAAGTTACATGATTTGCCATAGATTTATCTAAAGCTTTCACAAAAAGGTGGTCACTTCTCTCAAACCAATGTCCCTTGAAATGAAACAGTTACATATCTTGGCCGGGTCAAAACACAAAACAAGCCTCCTTGGTCTCTATTTACAGTGTTTTTTTTTTCCTTAGATTTTCCATTTGTGAAGTGAATCATAATTCTTGATGATGCCATATAGTTTGCTAACAAAATTAAAAAAGACCAATATTTTCAATCTCCACTGATCAAAGAACTAAGTTGTGAACATCATAAAAAATAACGGAAAAAAAAAATATCATCTTGCCACTTAACCATAGCAATAGTAAAATTCAATCATGAAGCATAAAAATTAAAACTTACCTAATCTAGAATGAAAACAAGTCTGGAGAGAATGATAGAATGAGATTTGAGACTTTTTAAGATTTTTAAATTTATGAGGAATGTTATGAAAATCTTATGAATTTGGAGTAAAATTTTGTACATAGTGTACTTTTTGAGCAAATTTTAAAAAGTTTGTAACAAATCTCAATCTCAAATAAATTAAAAATACTCAAGACTTTTTAAGACTTTTAAAAATCTCAATTGAGACATTAAATGTCTTCAAAAAGTCCAAGTTAAATAATATTAAAAAATATTTAAAAATCCCAAACAAATATGAACACGTCTATCAGTTAGAGGTGAGGCTGGGGAAGAACCACATAGGCGCCGGGAAAATCTTCTTGAGTCTGCCGACATCGACTGGATAATAGCACGGTGACACTGTCTTCTTCTCATAATAAAAAATGCCACTATCGTGGCCGTTGATCAGTTGATCATCCTCAAACACCTCAGTGCCTTCCATATCCGTGAAGTAAATGGAATTGGGCCTGAGCCCGGGCAGCTGGGCCACAGGCAACACAACCCCGTGGCTGCGGGCCCCCACGAAAAGAGCCCAACTCCCGAGCGAGGAGCACCTCACCAGATCCCCACCTTCTTCCGGGTCATATCTATACACATCGAAATCAATAGTCAACCGGTAGGGAAACGGCTTATAAAACCTCAGTCCGTAGTCCATGGAGTCGACCCAACACAGGCCCTCCAAGTCCACCACGTCAGTCGTGTGTGGAGTCACAAAGATGATGTCCCGGCCCATGACCGCCAGTCGGGTTGTGGGCTTGCGCTGCAGACGCAAATCATCAGCAACCCTAGTTGAAGCAGGGGAACACGGGTCCTGCAGGTCCCAACACTCCAAGTTATAGTTTCTTGTCAAGGCAAAGAAGAGCCCGTGGCCCGGGGAGTAGACGCAGTCCCTGTAGCAGCCATACGGATTTATCCTGTCGTCCGGGCCCAACGGGTCACCCATTGGAGCCCACGTGTCGTTGGGCCGGCCCGGGCAGCAGAAAGCCATCATTCCGTCCAGCTTGTAGATAATCACGGCCCTGCAGGCCTCGTCCTCCGGGGTGGAGGAGAGGATGATCTTCTCCACGCCAACCGAGTCGATATCCGAGTCGCAGTTGTAATTTGGGAGTTCGTGAAATGGGGGAAGCTTTATGTGGCGGCGGGATATGGGGTTGTAGAGGAACATATCGTGTGTATGGGGGTTCCAAAGCCCGACCCACCCGTGGGAAGAGCCCGTGAAGACCATGACATCGCCGCTGGCGGTTACTTCTCGAGCCGCCCCTTCGCAGGTTAGGGTTACGACCTTCTTCTCGCCTACGCTGTAGAATTTGTAAGCCGCGGTGGTGGAATCGGATTCCAAGACGGGGGGGAGCATCAGCCAAGGATATGTTAATGTCGGGGAAGATGAGGGTGGAGTTGTTTGCGCCGCCGTCCGCCCAGTGCTCATCGGACGGCAATGTAAGGGCTTCCATTTCCCGATAATCCGACGGCCGGGGAACGCTTTCCGGCGAATCGTACCGGCCACGGGTAGTGAAGAAGCCATCGATGGTTGGTTGCTACGCGCTGTCGTCTCCATTGAGCCATTAGAGAAGCACAAATTGGATAGATGTGTGACGGCGGCCATCCCTTTTTCTTTCTAGGTTTTTTCTCGCTTCAGACGTTGTAGGAATTTTGAGACATTTTATTCTATGTTCTGTTAATTATACCATGCTCAATTGAAGGAAGGGTCTAAAATCTTGAAGGTTTCAAATTTGGAGGATTTATTTTTAAGCATCCATTATTATGGAGACTGGTTTGATCATTTTAAAAACTTGAATGTATTAATTCAATTTGAACATAAATTCAGGTTGGATATTTAATTTGAATATAAATATCCTATTTTTGTTTATGTTATACGTATCATATTTTGTTTATGTTATTATTGAGAGCATGACATTTGAATTCCAAAGTACATTGATTTTTATAAAAGTATGATTACCTAACAAGAATTTTCAAATGATTCTTTTCCTTCTCACATCACAATAAATCACTTACGTAATGCAAGCCCACAAACTTTGTAGTACCAGAGAAAACTAACAATCAAACTGACACAAGATATAATAAATAAAAACATCAAAAATAAATCCATCCACAGCTACTCACGAGTCATCATGTCTCATTCATAAATCCATGTCTCATTCATATTTTAACCATAAACAGATCTGCAAATGTTGGGCATTTGTATTCATATTAGAATTAATAATTATTTAAATTTTGTTATGTTTCCGATTTGATATATCATTTGTGGACATTTTAATGTAATTTGTTATGAATCTTCTTTTAAAAATGTTGTCCACCAAAAAAGTAAAGTTTCAGGAGTTATAGAAACATGTATTATTGGTTTCCGACTTCATGTACATTGCATATTGATCTTAAATAATTTGATACATTGATCTGAAATAACCATTGTTTGTTTTCCAACATTCTCTCAAATAGATCTATATTATGTGTATGATTTTTGGTGCAGAATTTAAAGATTGTTGAGTTTTTCAGATTAAGAAGACACTGAAGAAGAGAGCAAAACTTCTGTTTGAATAACAAATTATGGTAGGTTTGTTTTTAATACATCTAACAAATTTTCCATAATAAACATGATATGTCCTGTAGAAAAATACACACACACACGATGTGTATGTCTGTGTATTTGTCTGTATATTGAAACACCATAATAAAAATTAACTTTGGTTGCAATTAGAGTCTTTTATGTGTATATCTTTACATTTATGTTTGTGTATTAAATGAACAAAGTTCACAATCTGGAATGATGATTTTGGGACTGATTATGAAGAATATTGTTCCCTTTTTTTGCTCATATTTGTATCTTTTCTCATACTTGTCAATAAAGAAAATAAAACAATTTGTCACTCTATTGGGAATGTTTTGTGGGTCTGTGACTTTGCATAGTGTACTTGTGTTTTGTGAGGTGTGTGTGCTTGTGTCGTTGGGTTTATGCCTATAAGCTGTTTTGAACATGAAATTGCCATTCATGAGTGGTGGGTTTCATTCTTGTTTCCTGTATTTCCTGTGAAAACTTATATATTCAATCGGATTATTCTTTTGTTGGTCTTAATTGGAGTGAACTTATGGGAGAAAGTAGTTAGAATTAATAATTCCTCTGTAGGATGACAGTAATTGGTTATCGGCTACAATTCCAACCTAGGTTGATGATTAGAAGCTCGAGTTCAGTAACGTTTATGAAATGTTAAGGTTTGATATCTTCTTTTTTGGGATTTTTATTAATTGAGCGGGAAATGTTTTTGTTATTAAGATTTTGTTCGTTTAAACCTCCTTTTATCATTCAATGTAACACATCTGCACTCTTTCACAGAAGACACTACAACAAACATCCTTAGTAGGAACAACTGAATATTGTGCCTATAACCATCAAAATCGTGTCTATTAACATATTGCAATGACATGTCGTTGCAAACATGTCGTGCCAATAGACGTGTGTCTATAGGTCTATTGGAAT